GCTATGGCTGCTGTCAACAGCGAGGTCTCAGGATGCCGCCTGCAGACCGTCACCGCCACCAACTTGCTTGGCTTCTCCAACGCTGCTTCGCGAGAAATGAACTGCCAAAAAGTCCTGAACCGATGGGCCTAACCTATCTATAGACTACASTAGACCTAGACCRGACTGACTGACCGRCCGGTACCGTTGCTGTTTCGSCCTCTCGGCCTCTACCGGACCCGGCTATAGGCTATAGGACCGTCTATCGGATTAGGCCCTTAGGGCCTGTCTGTCCTAGGGGTAGCCCGGGCCTGCTATAGGCAGTTAGGGTAGCTGTAGGAATTCGNACTGGGCCGGCTATGGCTGCTGTCAACAGCGAGGTCTCAGGATGCCGCCTGCAGACCGTCACCGCCACCAACTTGCTTGGCTTCTCCAACGCTGCTTCGCGAGAAATGAACTGCCAAAAAGTCCTGAACCGATGGGCCTAACCTATCTATAGACTACAGTAGACCTAGACCAGACTGACTGACCGACCGGTACCGTTGCTGTTTCGGCCTCTCGGCCTCTACCGGACCCGGCTATAGGCTATAGGACCGTCTATCGGATTAGGCCCTTAGGGCCTGTCTGTCCTAGGGGTAGCCCGGGCCTGCTATAGGCAGTTAGGGTAGCTGTAGGAATTCGAGTTAGTGTTGGGCCTGTATTTTCCCATATTTGCAGATATGTCCCTCGCGAATTTCCTTACAGGTAGGTCTCTCGGTTAGCCCTCAGCCAAACAAAATTACGAATCTAACCTACCGCTGTTAATGTACAGCCTCGCAGTCAGTCTCGGCAGTCGGAATCAGCAAGTCATTGCAGGCTTACCCCCCCGGGGAGCGAGGACCTCCGAGCGAGGGATGCAGGCGAGGTGAACGGCGAGGAAGGTTTCCCTTCTGAGCCACTTAATATCGCAGAACAATTGACTTTGTTGTCTTGAGAAGTTCCCTTCTGTAGAACCATCTGCTCTCTGAAGGAGGCTGCATTGCGAACCTCACAAGATACTGCCGATCGGGGCCTGTGCCCCACTCATCCTCAATCCGTTCCATGTCATATCCCTTGTCAGGGATCGGTGGACCAAACTGAGGGGGCCGGTCTGGGAATGCATCCGCTGGGGTGAAAGGCAGCAGCTTGGATGCATGAAAGACCGGGTAGGTACGTAGATGCAGCGGGACGTCGATAACATACGACGGGCCGAAGGGATCGGTGCCCACTGTATCTAGGACCTGCCATGGACCCAGGTAGCGTGGCAACAGCTTAGGGGAGATATCCTCCTCCCTCAACAACTCAGAGCTGGCCACCCAGACATGATCACCAGTACGGATGGTGGAAGGCCGCCTGTGGCAGTTAGCTTGTTCAATCATCGCCTTTTGGGCTTTGAACAAGTTCGCCCGCGCTCTTTCCACATCCAAACGATAGCGTCTGGTGAACTCTGTTGTGCCTGGTGTCAGATCAGGCTTAGCCTTATCGATGATATCATTGAGAGGCTGACGTGGTTTACGTCCCCAGTGTAACCGGTAAGGACTGAACCCTGTCGAGGAGTGGACAGACATCTTGTACATGAGTTGTGCCCTAGCCAAGTGAAGATCCCAGTCCTGTTGATCTGGAGAGATGACAGGACGCAGCAATTGGAACACAACTTGGTTCATCACTTCAGCCTGACCATTGGCTTCAGGATGATGACAAGAAGTCATGTCCGATCGTGAGTGAAGGTAGTCCTTACAATAGGACTGCCACTCATCGTTGCAAAACCTGGGGTCTCTATCACTGACTATAGAAGTCCATGGTGAGTGACCCACCTCTCAGAAAAGGCTGCTCTCACAGCCAGAACCCTAGCTACCTCTGGCAAGGGGATGAACTCTGCGTATTTGGAGAACCTGTCCACGCAGACCATAACCTGACGCATGCCACGGGGAGTGGTCTTGCCTAAATCTGTGAAGTCAATCGCCACAGATTGGGCCGGGCCATCAGGTATGGGTAAGGGTTTGAGCAGTCCCAAAGGAGGTCTACGTTGGACCTTATTCCTTTGGCAGAGCTCACAGGTGTCCACATAACGCAGCATATCACTCCGCATCTCCTTCCAGAAAAGAAGCGCTGCGACAGGGCTGCATAAGACTTGATAAACCCAAAATGTCCACAGGCGTCATGACACTCTGACATCAACAGTGTCCTGAGCCGCTGGTCCTGGGGAATGCACAAGCGCTCCTCCCCTCTGTTGTAAGTATACAGAAGATCTGAACTCAGGGCATAGCCTGGTTCAGAGTTAGGATCTGCTTGCAGATTTTCGACAATGGGTCCGAAAGTCTCATCCTGAGGCAGCAGACGAGCAATGATCTGACGGGTCTCCTCTCCAAAGGAGTGAGTAGAGGAGATCAACGCAAAAGAGTCAGGCCTACGAGAGAGGGCATCTGCTACCTTGTTGTAGCAGCCCTTCTTGTGCTTCAGTTCAAAGTCAAACATGTCTATGAACTGAATGTACCGTGCCAGTTTGTCATTCAACTCTCCCTGGGACTTCATCCACTGCAGGGTGGAGTGATCTGAGAAGATCTTGAAGTGCCTTCCCAGGAGAAAGTGTTTCCAGTGTTTCAGGGCACAGACAAAAGCATATAGCTCTTTCTCGTAGGTAGAGTCCTGGAGCTTTTGAGTCTTGATCTTCTTACTCATAAACTCTACAGGCCGTAGACCATTCCCATCATCTTGTTGAAGAACTACCCCAATGCCATACTGACTGGCGTCAGTGGTCACGATGAATGACAAAGTGGGGTCAGGTAACTTCAGCACAGGCGCACGAGTCAAGGCTTTCTTGAGTCGTGTGAAGCAGAGCCTGCAAAAGGCTGGTCGTAGCCGCACCCAGCTGCCCCCAGCCGGACCCGACAGCTCTGGGCAGGTCTGGCTAGCCCCATGTCCCAGCCGGCCAGGTGCGGCTAGAGGATGGGAGGATGGCCCACAGCTGGGCTGGGGCCAGCTGTCAGGAAAAGGAATGGGCCAGTTGTGGGTGTCTTGCCCTGATTAAAAAGAAAACGGGTAGGTGTGGGTGGGTCTAAACCTGGCACGGGTCACCCGTCAAAAGATATGCATATATGGATATAGGGGTCACCCGTCAAAAGATATGCATATATGGATATAGGGGTCTACACCTATACACATATATGTGTAGGGGTACCGACCACTATTTTTCATTCTTCCTCCCACGCTGCATAGCGGCTACAAGCAAAAGGGCGGCAAACTGCACCATTGTGGAAAATATTTGCAGCGTCTCGAGTTTGGCGCCCAGCGTCCCACGGGCTGCCACTGTCTTCCCCCAAACATAACGGACCCTTATTATGGTTGTTCGTGGCCAGAAACATACCTTGCATACATTCATTATGAGGGTCCGTTGTCTTCTGCTTGTGGTCGTAAACACAGCTTGCATACATTCATTATTACGGTCCCTTATGTTGGAGGGAATACGGTGGTAGCTACCCGCTTGGCTCGACGCTCTTCTACGTTGTGCACTGCACGTCGCTGCATGTCGCACTATGCACAGTGTGCAGCACGGGCAGTTGTGAGAAGGCAGGTATTGCTGCTCGTCACTGGCGATCGCGAGAACGCCGAGAAGGCAGGTGCATTCGCCCTCCCAACCACCCCCACCTCTCCTCTTCCTTCTCTACCCTCACCTTGTACCTGTCATCGTCCTCTATTTCCACCTCTTCTCGTCCTCCCCCACCTCAAGCTTGCCCATGCATGACCATCCTCTAGGGCAAAGTCCCACTAGCAAAGATTGGATGAAGAGGCTGAATGTGGATGTGTTTTAGGCTGATATGCAGAAAGGCATCGATATCCATTTTCTGCACCTTTCCACAAACACACCCCGATTCAGGCGTTCCATCCAATCCCCCCTTTATTTTTCTTTTTTGTTTTCAAAACCACTGCCCTCCAGAGAAAAGATTCATGGGTGCAAACCATAGCCAAGAACAAGGAAACAACAAACAAAAAACTGTGGTGGTCTTGGAACGAAACGGTTCATGCTAGGAACAATGAATAACCAGACACAGCATGGAGATCGACAACGAGAGAGAGAGAGAGAGAGAGAGAGAGAGAGAGAGAGAGAGAGAGAGAGGGTCTGATAAACGATGCAGTGGCTATTACGGGCGTTTATTTTATTGTTTCATTTTACGGGAAAGGTAGAGTACTTCCGTGACTTCACATTGGCTATGAAGAACGGGAGGGGAGATTACATGCATTTCGTCACGGAGAAGAAAAGGATCTGGCAGGAATAGCGGACCAGATTCATTGGATATTACCTGATGTGTACGCTAGGATCTGGCAGAAATAGCGAACCAGATTCACTAGATATTACCTAATGTGTGCACAAGGTGACAGCCAAAGAATCTGGCAGATATAGCGGACCAGATTGACTATTTACTGCCTGATGTATGCACCAGTTGACAGCTGAAGGATTGAGCGGAGGGATCTCTTTGCTAGCTAGGTGATCTTATGGACCGAGTCATCTTGACATCACTAAGGCAAGGAATGGAGTTGTAGTATGGAGTATTTATCGATAGATGGGAGGACGTTGCTGTTTATCTCTTACGGACAGAGCGATTCCATGCCCATGCCATTTCTTTGTTTTTTTTTTTTT